ATGCCCGGCGGCGGGGTGGAGAGGTTCCCGCCCCCACCGCCGGCATCGGGGCATCGTTCCGATGCCGGGCGGCGGGGGGATGAGGTTTCCCGCCCACCCGCCCGGCATCGGGGCATCGTTCCCGATGCCGGGCCGGCGGGGGGAGAGGTTCCCGCCCCACCGCCCGGCATCGGGGCATAGTTCCGATGCCGGGCGGCGGGTGTGAGAGGTTCCCGCCCCACCGCCCGGCATCGGGGCATCGTTCCGATGCCCGACGGCGGGGGTGAGAGGTTCCCGCCCCACCGCCCGGCATCGGGGCATCGTTCCGATGCCGGGCGGCGGGGGGAGAGGTTCCCGCCCCACCGCCCGGCATCGGGGCATCGTTCCGATGCCGGGGCGGGGGAGAGGTTCCCGCCCCACCGCCCGGCATCGGGGCATCGTTCCGATGCCGGGCGGCGGGGGAGAGGTTCCCGCCCCCACCGCCCGGCATCGGGGCATCGTTCCGATGGCCCGGCGGCGGGGGGAGAGGTTCCCGCCCCACCGCCCCGCTTCGGAGCAGCGCTCCGAAGCGGGGGCGGCTGGGGCAGGTGTTCCCGCCCCCCCCGCCCCGCTTCGGAGCAGCGTTCCGAAGCGGGGCGGCTGGGGCAGGTGTTCCCGCCCCCCCGCCCCGCTTCGGAGCAGTGTTCCGAAGCGGGGCGGCTGGGGCAGGTGTTCCCGCCGCCCGCTTCGGAGCAGCGGGAGAAGCGATCTCCCCGCAGCCCCTTGCTTCAAAAGAGGTCCGGGGGCAGCGCGAAGCGCTTCCTGCTGTCCCCGGACCTCTTTTGAAGCAAGGGGCGGTGGGGAGAAGCGATCTCGGACCTCTTTTGAAGCAAGGGGCGGTGGGGAGAAGCGATCTCGGGGCGCCGCCTCTCCCGCCTCCCTCCCACGGCACACCAGGCAAGGTCTCACGGCACACCAGTGTGCCGCGGAACACCGGTTGGGAAACACTGGGCTAGAGTAACTAGGAAGTGTAGATGAGCCCCATCTTGGGGTGAAGAGCTGAGAAAAGGCTATCTTAGGGATGCCATATGTCCAGAATACTGTGGGCGAAAGCAGTGTCTGGACAGAAACCGGCAAGATCTCCCAGAAAATCCGGACATATGGCAAGCCATGTTGGCAGTGCCATTTTTGCCAATTTTCATAAATAATTGTTCAAAATAGCTCAAAAATGGCAATTATTTTTGCTGTTTTGCAAGAAAAGCTCAACAACTCTGATGCCCCCCCCCCCAAGAAGCTCAACAACTTTTTGTCTGGATGTTCACTTTTTGAAATATGGCAACCCTAGGCTATATATGTAAGCCCTGAAGCAGGAGGTGTGCTACTACTGATATGATGGGATCTACTGAAAAATCCACCAGCATGTCAGTGCACTTGTACCTAGCTTTACCTACTCTTCTCTCCCTTTGTGTAGCCTGCGCTCTTCCCAAATCAGCTCCAGGGGATTGAAAGAAACCCCATAACAGATTTAGGAGGTCCAGGGCATGCAGGGAGAGAAGTTTCATTGTGCAGTCAAAAGTCCTTACACTGACAGAAGTTGAGAACCGAGCTATTTGTAGCCAAGGCCTCCTAACCACCAGAACTGTTGTCTTGCTTTTTGTAGCTGGTGCCAGGGCTGTCTGATGGAGGAACTGTGAGGTCTAGGGGAGAAATGGGAACTAGACTACACTAGCTTAGGAATTCTATACAGCCTTGGTCAAAGGAGGTCCTATTGGGCTGAAAAGAGTAAGGTGGCTTCCTTTTCGTATGTGTGCCAAGGGTCTCTTTTTTATCTACAAGGTGCACTTTGAGCAGGTCTTCACTAAATAGACAAGTCCCTCTGAAGTGGGCTGCTCACTGATTTGACCAGGAAGTTCAAGACCTTCTAGCTACTGTGAATGCTACAATGATCCTTGAAGAAGGCTAAACAGCACCTAGGTTGACATTGGGAGTGAATGCTGATGCCGTGGTAAGTCTGACCAATACCCTCTGATGGGTATTGTTGTCCCGATCCTTATTTTGCAGTATATCCTCCAGCCAAAGAACTGTAGCTATAGCAGCATTTAAAGAGGTAAAGACAGCAGCCAGGACAGGAGCCTCATGGGACTTTTTAAAGAAATGTGGTCTGCCTTCTTTCCACTTCTTTCTCGGGAAAATGTGTCATTGCGCCTAGGGGGGATTGAGTCCAATAAAAGGACTTCCACTGCAGCAACCACAACTGAGACTTTTAACTGTTCCATTGCCTGAGGGGAAACAGTATACAGTGGTGCCCTGCAAGACGAATGCCTCGCAAGACGGAAAACTCGCTAGACGAAAGGGTTTTCCGTTTTTTGAGCTGCTTCGCAACACGAATTTCCCTATGGGCTTGCTTCGCAAGACGGAAACGTCTTGCAAGTTTGTTTCCTTTTTCTTAACACCGTTAATACAGTTGCGACTTGACTTCGAGGAGCAACTCATAGAACGCAGTGTACATAGTAGCCTTTTTTGAGGTTTTTAAAGACTGGTGATTTTTGAAGCTTTTCCAAAACTTCTTTTGCAGCCATTTGGTAAGTTAAGCTTTTAAAACTTTTTTGGGGGGTTTTGGATTTTGGGTTGGGGTGTTTGGAATTCAAGGACTTGGTGTTGGGGAGGGGTTTGCAAGAATCTGGAAGCTTGTGTGTTTTTTTCTGCATTTTTATAATTTTCTGTGACCATTGGGCACTCTGCTGTTTTTTTAAAAAAATTCTGGATTTGAATTTCTGTGTGCTGGGTGGCTGGGGGAACAGTTGGGGAGGGGTTTGCAAGAATCTGGAAGCTTGTGTGTGTTTTTCTGCATTTTTATGATTTTCTGTGACCATTGGGCCACTCTGCTGTTTTTTAAAAAAAATTCTGGATTTGAATTTCTGTGTGCTGGGTGGCTGGGGGAACAGTTGGGGAAGAGTTTGCAACAGTTGGGGAGGGGCTGGGGGAACAGTTGGGGAGGGGTTTGCAACAGTTGGGGAGGGGCTGGGGGAGCTTTTCAGGCGATGCTTCGAGGCGACTGATTGCACCACCATCACCCTGTGGGAATTCTGGAAGGACCACTTCGACATCGTCACCTGCTTGAAGATGATCACCACGGCCTGGAACGGGATCAGCCAGAGAAATTTGAATTGCGCTTGGCGCAGCCTGTGGCCGGACTATGTGGCACCAAGTGACTCTGATGCACCAGAGTCAACAGTGGTGCAGGACATTGTTGCCTTGGGGAGGACCATGGGCCTGGAGGTCACAGAGGAGGACATCAGCGAGCTGGTGGAGGAGCACAACCACGAGCTGACCACCCAGGAGCTGGTCGAACTGCAGGCAGAGGCTGCGCAGGAGCAGGCCTCGCTGGAAGAGGAGGAAGCAACTGAGGAATGGCTGTCCTCCAAAGAACTGAGGGACATTTGCCTGAAGTGGAAGGATGTGCAGGCTTTTGCACAGCGGCACCACCCTGACAAGCACGTGGCACATGACCTTGTGAACACTTTTGATACGAGGGTCATGTCGCCTTTCAGGGAGGTGCTGAAAAGGCGGATGAAGCAGCAGACCATGGACAGGTTCTTCAGCAAGAAGCAAAGAGTGGACGAGGAACCTTCTTCGAGTTGTCCCCCAGAGTCTTAGAAAATGTACTGTACACTTTGTTGATTTTTAAATGTTTTTCTGTCATGTTTAGAAACTTAATTTATTGTTCCTTCAATTTTTGAAATGCTCTTTACAGTATGTGTGACTTTACAGTATGTGTGACTTTAAAGAGCACTTAATAAACTCTTGTTGTACCAAATTTGGCTTTGTTTGGACTTTTTTTGGCCATAGGAACGCATTAATTGATTTTCAATGCATTCCTATGGGAAACTGTGATTCGCAAGACGAAAAATTCGCTAGACAAAAAAAATTCGCGGAACGAATTAATTTCATCTTGCGAGGCACCACTGTACAATCCTCTGAGCTAGTCTGGTGGCTTTTTGTTTGGTTGGCTTGGTGTTCATTTCAACTATTTTTTTTTTTTTTTACAAAGCGGATAGAAAGGGTACTTCTTTGGAGACTGATCTGGTCTCCAAGGAGACAAACGCTGCCTGGGATGTTGGCTGAGCTGGCTCAAGAGGTGAGAGTTGCAAATCTACAGGTGATTTAGCTCTTGCTAATAAAGGTCTCAGTGGGAGGCTCCATAGTAGCTGCAGTGGGCTTCTTTTTAATTTTTGCTTCCTTAACTAGCCTAATATGTTGCATTTTTTTCTTTCTTTCTTGTTGGCTTTCTGCCCACCTGAAGGAGCCATAAAAGATGAAGGGAAAGTCAAGAAAAAGAGATTGATAAAGATTTTTTTAAAAAAGGAGGAGGAGGAGGAGGAGGAAGTGTGTAGCACAGGAGCATCTGTTTGGGAAGAGCACAAAGTATAAAGGTATGGAGTTGAGATAATGAGAAGGGAACAATGAAGCAATGCTCTATGCTGGGTGAAGGAGTCAACTGGGGAGGAGTCAGGAGCATTGGATGCCGTAAGGAAGTTTGTCATATGTTACACATAAGAACAACTACTGGATCAGGACCAAAGGCATCCTGTTCCAGCATCTTGTTCTCACAGTAGCTAATGAGATGCCGATGGGAAGCCCACAAGTAGAACATGAGTGCAACAGCACTTTTACTCTTGTGTTCCCCAGCAACTGGTATTTTTGGTCCTTTCCAACTCTGCTATTCTGTGATTCTATTATTCTATGAACATGCTTTCTGTACTAGACAGGAGTTGCTATGCCAAGGGATAGAGAATGACTTCTTGCCTTCATGAGGAAAATGTTGAAGGGGAGTGAATTCTTCCCCACAAAGAGATTTCTGATCTTCAGCAGCATTAAAGACTTAAACCTGGAAACATCCACTCTGAAACTCTGAGCCATTCTTACTTGAGACACAAAGCCTGAACTCAGTGCTGGCTACAGTTCCAAAACTGTACGGATGCTACACTTTACCACAAACAAGTCAAAATTGAGTCAGGCTTTCTACAGCATCACATGTTCACCTGTTATCTGACACCCCGGGGCAGCTGTAGTTGATTGTAGAAGAGTGCAAGGTGTCTGGGTTTCTCTGTTCCTTATTGTTTGATTGATGCAAAATCTCCAGCGGCCAACAGGGGATGACTGAGGAGCGGATTCACCTGTGAGGAAAGAAAGAAGTACAGGAGATGATCATTCCTCTACCATCTTTTGTGTGCATAACAAGAAAACAAAATCAAGATGTGCTTAAACAGGACTATGAGAACATCACTGCTGCTGTGAGCAGAAGCCTTTGGAACAACAAGGCCTAGCAGTCAGGATTCTGGAATTGGCCTTAAGGCACCAAGGCTGCAATTCTAATAGACTTAAGGCGGAATAAACTCAATTGAGTGGGATTGTTGCCATGGAGCCATGTGATCTGACTTTCTCCAGTTTCCTTGGATCAGTGTACATGCACAGAAAAAAATGAATGCTGCTGGTGAAGCCATCCTTCCTTGGCTTTGCCTGAGTTCTGCTGCTTTGCCCTTTGATTTATAGGGACTACTAGAGCTTTCCAAACTTTTCATGTTGGTGACACTTTTTTTTTTACATGCACGATTTTGCAACACAGTAATTCAGTTTTACTAGCAAACCAGAAGTTAAACTAACCCCTTTGCAGCCCTGGAAGGAGCGTGGGGAGCATTTGTGCGACACACTGCAGCCGACACACTAACATGTCATGACACACAGTTTGGAAAGCTCTGCTTTGGAGTCTGCACTGTGCCATGCATGTACCTCCTTTCCCACCCCTGTCTTTACTAAAGCCAGTGTGGTGGTTAGAATGTCAGACTAGGGCCTGAGAGACGAGGCCTCAAATCCCCACATGGCCATGAAGATCACTGGGTGACCTTGGGCCAGTCGCTGCCTCTCAGCCTAACCTGACTCACAGGGTTGTTGTGGGGGTTAAATGAGGAGGGGGAGAGCTATGTAAGCCAGGTTGAGCTCCTTGGAGAAAAGATGGGATATCCCCCCCCATGCATAAGACACCCCCTATTTGGGGGGACTCAGACTTAAGAAAATGGGGGAGATGGCCCTGTGTATAAAATGCCCCTTAATTTTTGACATTATTTTTTAGGGGGGAAACCTAGTTAGTCTTATAGACGGAAAAATACGGTAAATACAATCAATCAATCAATCAATCAATCAATAAAGTCAGGATCAGACATGTGTTGGTGCACTTGTTGCGGGTTTTCCCATATCACATTGCTCAGACAACAACAGGAATATTCTGTTACACTACTATTTCTCACAAACAGTCCCACCAAATTACCAGAAACTAGCCCGTGACTCTAGGCTGCAAGTTAAGAAGCTCAAATCATTTAACAAGAACATATGATTCAAAAATTATCCATAAAATAATAGGGCCATTATCCAGTTTCAGTAGATGTACTTTTAATCCAGTATTTCCTTCTGGCTCAAGAAGAGAGGGCTCTCTAATTTGGACCTGGATGGCATTGTACATCTCATTTTTATCATAGTGCTTACCCCGCTTATACCATACTGTATTAAGAACACTTGCTGGTTTGAGACAAAAACCTGTAACACTCTGCCATTGGGAACAGTATCTACATTTATCGCTTGAGCACCGTTTGCTGCCTTGAACACCATTTGGTGAGATACAAATTTAACAAACAAGTAACTGTAATATGTACCTCTTATTAGTAGTCCGAATAAACATTTAATAATGTGTTCAGCACAACAGCTTCAGGCTTACCCAGGGTTTAAACATGCTTGATTTATATATATATATATATATATATATATATATATATATATATATATATACATACACACATATCTTTGAACAGCTGATCCCTATACTATATCACAGTCTGCTTTTGAAAGGTTCTCCTCGGTTTCAGAATTGCTCTGACATGCGGTAAGGAAGACTCCTCTTTCAGAAACACACCCAAAGTTCCCCTTAATTGCACGGAACTATGGTTTGTTGGATCCTGGCCAAAGTGTTCCAGTCCTCCAGGGACACAAAAATTTATATGCACTGGAGCAGGAAGAAATAACAAATCAAGAGCAGACAGATGCTCAACTTGTGGGTAAAAAATAAACATACCACTGGCATTGTTCTGTTGATACAAAGGTCATACCAGAATCAGAGAAAAAGAGATCATTCAGTGTTAATGGAACAAAGAGTAGCCAAGTAAAATGTTGGACTCTTCTGATGTGCTTGAAAAGTAGTCCATCATGGTAAGTAACTGCCTTCGTATCACATAAAGGAACACAGTTGACTGTGTGCATTTCACTTTCCACTAAGAAAAGTCCCATACACAAGAGAGAGCATCTTTCCCTCTTTCAACCATTGCTTCTGCATTTCTTAAATGGAAACTCAGCCATTTAAATGTGCACGCCACATTTCACAACTGATGACACCACACGTGATATTTGCTACGTAAACATAGGGGTATTTTTGTAGTCAACCTCAAAAAGGAAATTTTGAACTGGCTAGATTTCCAGACACTTCAAACCACATCACCAACTGTAAGTTAGGGGTAGACAGCATGACACCCTCTAGTTATGATCCTACTCCAGTCCCATCAGCCCCAGGCAACTTGGCCATGTAGTCCAATGACATCTGGAGGGCACCTAATTGGCCATCCTTCTATAAGTATGGAAGCTGGCTTGTAACTTCACCTGCTTTAGAATAATGTAAAGAGTCGCTGCCAACCACAATGAAGGAATTTGGATTCTAGTTTCCTAAAGGTAAAATCCAGACCTTTTTCTTTGCTCAGCTGCATCAAACCACCCTCAGAACTGATACCAATTTGGCTATACTCATTAAGAACTTGTTTATTTATTTATTATAAATGTATATACTGCTTAATTGATAGAAGATTTCTAAATGTCTTCTTTCAGCCTTGAATAATGTCACTCAAAATCTTTACAATCTTCCCATACAGTTATCAGGACCATTGCAGAGAATCAATTATATGTGCCAAAATGACTCCACCAAAGACGTGAACTACCATAAGAAGATTTGAGAGACAAAAGTCAGCCTAACTGACAAGGAACAAATCTGCTTTAGTTCCTGCCAAAATATCCACTATTTTCATCACTTTCACCTTTAAGGAGGGTGATTTTGTTTTGTTTTTTTGTTTGACCTTCAATGTTAAATGTTTTAAAATAGTTACTTACTGCCAGTTTGAGTAGATGCTGGGTTTATCTGAACTTGTTCAGAAGATCCTGTCTGAATTAAAAATGAATAGATAAATATAAAAAGGGAATTTCCCAATACAAGCACACACTTTCCCAGAAAAGTGGTATCACTAAACAAACATAACTTACTTGGGTAAGATCAGAAGGTGTAGACTCTGTGCCAGTAGTTCGCTCTTCAACCGGAAGACTGCGGATGATGTCCTGGGCCTGGCAAACAATAGCCTTCAGTTCATCAACAAATTTATCTTTCTCATTTTCCAACACAAAGTCATCTTCAACCTAACATGGGAAGGAAAAAACAGGGCAGTAGATGTAAATGCATCTTCTATCACATTTTATACAATCAGAGAAATCTTAGCTTTCCAAAAGAATAATATTGTTTGGCTGAAGGAAAACTCACATATAGCCAAAACAATTGAAATTGTGCCAGTGTCTATGTAGCAAGGAAGCCATCTAAAATGGTATTCCGTTTTCTAAACGTATTATTTTGCAAAATGCCAAAATCAGGGGCCAGACCTAATTATAATCCAGAAGCCAACCACAGGAAGAAAGTTTCCCTTAAAATCTGCTCACAGGTCCTGGCCTCACCCCCAGAAATACCCAATGGCTCCCTGGGTGGGGTTTAGCCTCAGTGCATCCACTGGAATCCATTACCTGAGTGATGCCTGCCATCTGCAAAAAGGATAAAGTCTACTCCCACTCCACACCCCTGCATAGTACTAGAAATCACAACTGTATGTAAGCAGGGGGATCCAAGTCTTCAACAAACACCCCATTCTTACATGGGGTCTCCATCCAAGGAATGATCAAATCCACCCCTACATAGTTCCAGGTGTGCTCCTGCATCAGGTGTCAAACCAGCTTGAAACTACAAGCCCCTGCACCACATCCTCATAGGAGATCAATGTCCTCCATTCAGTATTTTCTGTAGTATTAATCTAAGGTTTTAATCCTATCATACGTACCTGGAAATGAGTCCCACTAAATCAGGGGAATCTGTGACCCTTCATATGCTGTTAGTTTACAGCTCCCAGTATTCTTGATCACTGGCCATGCGCTCGAACAGATGAGAGATGGAAGCCAAAACTCCATCAGACCCACCCTGCATGGCCAGTGATAAAGGATCAGGGTTGATGGGATTTGTAATCCACAACACCTTGAGCGGGGCTATACAAACCTCCCACCCCAGTTAAAGGATGTATAGGATCAGGCAGCAAATTTTATGTCTAAAGAAGAAATGTGTACTATTGTCAAAGTCTCCGGCTGCTTATTTTTTTAAAAATTAAATTTTACTGAACTACAAAAGCAGACAATACACACAAGAGAAAAATAAACATTAACAACAAAATAATATAAGTTTAATACAAGGAGCTTTTGATGATAAAGTCAAAGAAAAGTAAAAAATTCAGAAGTGAATGAAATGGATAAAATTATAAACGAGATATAAAAACACAAGTTGTGCAATGAAGGAAATAGGAAAAGGGGAGGGAGTTTCTATAAGGAGGCAAGACCTTCTTCCATTGAATTAAATGAATTTATCCAACCTGCACTCCCCCCCCCCGAGTTTCTAATGTTTAGGGCTAAAACACCATTTTGAATCTTATTAACCCAAGGAACAACAGATGGTCCTGCAGGAGTCTGCAGCAAACCTGAAATAATAACCTAGAAAGTTAATACAAATGGTTTAAGGATTTTTAAAAACATTTGTCTTGAAGTCCTTACATGCAACGTTTCCAAAGGTGACAGCGCCTGGGAGGCTGAGTTTAGTCAAACCTCCAAGCCCAGTTTTCATTGATTCCTCTAGCAGCCCCATTTTTAGGATCTTGCCCCAAAGCCTCTCAAAGTTGGTTCTCAAAATAATCTGTGCAAGTCAAGGGCATGTCAAGTGGAAGACTAAGGTTAGACCTCAGGGGTTTCCATATCTTGAGAAATGCTATGAACAAGACACAAGGCTATTGCACATTGTCCTGAGCAACCCAAGCATTTGAACAAGAAATCTCTAGTGGAAAGCAGGCTCTATGAAACTTGCCATGTAGTCAGCAATGTCTTCCGGAGCATCGCCATCAACATCAAATTTAAATGTGACCATCTTGTTGTTATGAGTCTCAAGCTGGCACTCCACCGTGTTGTCCCCCGATGTTGACACCTGATTGAAGGGGGGGGGATTGGGTAATTAAATAGAGTCAGAAACTGCCTTTTCTTCTCCAATTCTTGGCAAACAAAGATCACCTCTACCTGACTGGTGTGATACCAATCCTGTAAAATGACAGCACTTGTCTAAAGGCTGAAGTGGCAAAGCACCAATAACTAAAAAGGTTTACTACCTATTATCTTTGTTGTTGTTTTAAATAGATAATTATGTACACATTATACGTTGTTCTATAGGATGATAATGAATATAGATAGGATTCATTTCTGTAGAATCTGGCATCTGTTGAAAATGCCAGCACTTGATGGTCTTTGGGATTCAGTGACCTCAGTTTCAAATATTCCATCAAAATACTTTATAAGCATTTTCTGGAGGCTTGAAAATATACTTCTTCACCCAAAGACTATATTCAAATTTTTCCCTCCAGTTATGACCTGATTCTAAATACTTGCCTTCAATAACATTTGGAATGGATTCTAGATCCTGTTCACACATTATGTTGTTTTAAAAGCAACTGACCTGAACCCATTCCTTTCTGATCTTGTGAAGCTGCAAGAATAAACTTAAGCTAAAAAGATACACAAAAAACTGTGAAGTCATCTGCTATCTCTGACACCGGACACACAAACCAGGGTAGAAACATTAATTGTGTACAACGTTGGATAAATCAATTGTTTTAATCAGTCCATTTTGCAAGTCTCAAAATTCATCCCACAATTTACCATCCACAAAGACTGATTTTAGGCAAATCTGAGATTATAGAAGTCATAAAAGTGCTCTTCTGCTCAAAGATGGTGTTAAAAGAACAACTTGCTATTGAGGTGCCCCCTGAAATATGATCTGTGAATATAAGAATTGACTGGGCCAAAGGGCTTCTTCTTAACATATATTAACCAGATAAACAAATTATTATCTGGAGCCCAAGGGCAATGAGAAAAGTCTCATTGCATTAGTTGATCTCATTCTCTGGACACATACTCCAATTGAATTCCACATATAGTTGCAGAATTTATAGTCATTAAAGCATTGCTTGCAAATGGGAATTTATACAACGCTGGTAGGAGAGCCCAGGTAAACAACCTCAAATATATTTTCCAGACAGATATTATTCCATTGAATTCTATTCTGGAGCTATGCACAGTTTAGCCTAGATTTTTAAAACATACACACCTGCAGCACAGTGAGCTGAAATTTGGTTCCCTTCTCTGTTCGGGCACACGAAGCTCTCCGTTGCTTGCTTTTGTCTTGTTTGCCATTTCCACTTGGAAGGTCACATCCATTGGCACCTTCCTTCTGAATGGCTACATCAGGAATCGGTCTTAAAAGATAGGAAAAGAGGTGAGCACTCTTAGAAGGAACGCACTGAGACACTTCTGAGGGGAAGCCTTGCTCTCTGTAACTTCTGAACATTAAGTAAATTTTTGTTTTCCTTTTATCAACTAGCCCAAATGAGGGCTTGCATTACCTCGCAGCAGCAAACCTATTCAATATTTGAATAGGGAAATACTGTAGATCAAAGTAGGGCTGGTGACAAACACTCCTTTTTAAGTGAGTTGAAGGTGGCTAGGTACCATAGGCAGACATTGCTGTCTATGGTATATGCATTTATTTTGTCACACTACCATTGATGGTTAAACACTTAAATTCACATGGGTGAAATTCACATGGGTGCCTTAGACAAACCACATTTCTCCCAGTCTCAACTACACAGAGAGAGACAGACACACTGCATCTGTAATGGGGAGAATATTAGCTTAGCTTACAGGGCTGTTGATGGTCTCCCTATTGTATACATTACCCTATCTGTGGGGCAGCAGGATTTCACTGACTTCTTTCTAGACCACTGTGGTCATGTTCAACATCCCAGTGCCACATAGATGGGACCAACAATGCCCACCCTTCCATCCGCTGTTCTCTAGGCAATGATCAGGTGAGAAAGGCCCAGATTACTGCACTCAAGGTTACTGCAACAAAATGGAAGTAGGGAAGCCATGGTGAACTGGCTCCCACACAACTTTACAGTTGTGTACAAAGTGTCTCCTGAGTGTACTGCAAACACTCAGGAAAAGCACTTCACAAACATTTTCTTACTATTGTTCTCTTTACTTTGTCTTAGTGGTGCTTGGGGTGGCATGCAGAGCAAGCTAAAGGATAGATGGCACCTTTGCAGATGTACAGAAGGGGGGTTATGGGGAGACCAGGACTAGTCCTTACCTTAGGGTAATAAGGCACAGGGCTGGACCCTGCAGCAAGCGGGTGGTAACATGACTGGGGAGGAGGGAGAGATGGATGTAGCAACAGCTTTTCAACTGGTGACCTTAGTCTGTGAGGTGGGGCTAGGAAAGGTGCCATTTAGCCCACATCTCATTTAGCAAAAGGTTTGGCGCTGGCATTGAGGACTAGCAATTGCTGGGAATCCCAAACCTAAAGTCTTCCAGTGAAATCCATAAATTAACTTTCTAGCACACTACTGCTTTGATCAGAAAATTCCTAACAGTTATCCTAAGTATTTACTTCCCTAAATTTAACTGATGTTCTTAGCAGGGAGAGAATGATGAGAGTTCCTATATTTGTGTACAGTATGCTTCAGTTGCTGGAGGAGACTCTCGAGAGTCCCATGGGCAAGAAGATCAAACGTATCCATTCTTAAGGAAATCAGCCCTGAGTGCTCACTGGAAGGATAGATTGTGAAGTTGAGGCTCCAATACTTTGGCCACCTCATGAGAAGAGAAGACTCCCTGGAAAAGATCCTGATGTTGGGAAAGATGGAGGGCACAAGGAGAAGGGGACGGCAGAGGACGAGATGGTTGGACAATGTTCTCGAAGCTACAAACATGAGCCTGACCAAACTGTGGAAGGCAGTGGAAGGCAGGAGTGCCTGGCGTGCTCTGGTCCATGGGGTCACGAAGAGTCGGACACGACTAAACGACTAAACAACATGCTTCAGTAATGTTTCTTCCTACCACAACTCTGCCAGCTTTCTTCTGGTTGATGTGAATTCTCCCCTTCCCACCCGTCTTAAGGCCTTGAGCTTATCTTCTTTGTATAGAAAATGGAGATGTTCACTAGTTTTGATCTCCATGCACTTAGCATTCCTGCCTTCCACCAGGCCAAAAAAATTAACCTTGGAGCAGACTCACCCTTGAACAAAATCCTGCTTTTGAACTGATGGCTGTTGTTCTGGTACCAAGATGGAAGCCTAGAAATAGGGAGGGAGAAAATTAATTATGTTGGTTCTGCATGTGCCATCCTCACTTGGATGCAGCAATACTAATCAAATTAAGTAATTACACAAAATGCAAACAATTTGTGTGCTTGAAATGAAACACAATCATACTTTTCCAGGCTGACATCCTCAGGACCTGGATCTGCTCCCCCCCCTTCTTCTTCTTCTAGGAGCATTCAGCACCAGTTCTAAAGATAACCTTGAATAATATCTAGCTCTGGAGATTCTATTCCAAGCTTTGCATTTGCTTTGAAAATATTTCCCATCCATGGTTAGGAAAATATTTACAGTCTCAGAAATGTATGCTTGCTATTTGCAATCCCAGGAGAAAAAGTGAAAATAAAAGTCATTAAAGTGGAAAGCTGAGGCAAGTTACTCTACAGTTAAGGACATACAATCTTTAAAGATCATTAGAATGACACCTCTTACATGCATAGCAGAAAGGATAAAACATTCTCAGGAGGTTAAACCTAGTTTATCCACAACATTTTTCCTTTTTATGGAATAGACACAGCATTGTGCTAGATCACTAGATTACAGTCTATAATCCAGTACACAGTTTGAAGGTGTCACAAATAGCCACAAATGACATTGGTGGCATGATTAGATATGCAGGAGAATGGAGAAACCTTTATCCACAGACACAACTGCAACAAGGAAAGTGCTGAGAACACAAAATAGGCAACAGGGGATGCTCAGATAGTTTCTCCTCAGAAATGAGAAATCAGGTTGTCTAGAACTGAAACTGTGTGCTAACCCTAAGAGCTATGTTGTCAAGGTAGGCAAGATGAGCAAGAAGAGGTCTCAGGAGATGACGAAGGTAAGGAACAAGAGGCTCACAGAGCCAAAAGAACGGGAAAGAGTCTGCAATGAACAGAGATAAAAGGTGCTTCTAGGTATTGGTGATTTAGCAATCCCTCATCATTTTGGTTCTGCTTTCAACTGAAAGTTGAAGAGCAACTCAGCCTCCGCACTTCTTGAAGGCAGACCCTAACACTTGGTTCTGCAGCCAGGTTCTGAGTCCTCTTTTCCCAACTCCAGTTACTGAGAGGGGGGTCATTAGGACCAGGGGGGAGGGAAGACTACCTCCTCCTTCACGGTACTCCTTATCATGTCGCCCCATTGATGCAATGTAAGAAGGAGTAGGAGAAAGAGGGCAACACCTTTTGGAAAGAGAAAGGTCAAACTGATAGAATTAATTCCTAGAGAGGAGAAACAAACCAGAGAGAGAAAAAGAAGCTACAGCAATCTAGGAAAAGGGTGGAATAATCTATACAGGTCACTATAGGCCAGAATAACAGCACAGTAGTCCACCAATGCCCAGGGAATGTACACATGCAGCTATGAAAAGAGTTGAGAAAAAGTTGCATTTTCTAAGCTCATAAAAAAGGAAGTTGAACAGGGAAAAGGTGAGAGGAAGATGTTTTGTTCATGCCATCTTGCATGAGTAAGGGAGCAGTACATGTCCAGTGTGGAAGCAGTCACAGAAACCTAAAAGAACAGCAGATGGTAGAAGCAGAGGAAAAGAGACAGTGACCGACAAAAGGAGAGGACTATTGAAACAAGGCAGTCGAAGCTGTATTAAATGGGCCGGAAAGGGGTGGAGAAGAATGCTGGATGAACACTGCTGGTTGAAAGACAGTGTGGCTGGACAAAGGAGGTCCAGCTAAGATGAAGCAGGAAGAAAATCATAGATTCATAGAATTGGGACCACGAGGGTCATCTAGTCCAACCCCCTGCAATGCAGGAATCTTTTGCCAAATGTGGGGCACAACCCCGAGATTAAGAGTCTCATGCTCTGCTGACTGAGCTACAAGGCAACCATCAGGTTGGCAGAGGTGTGACCATAGACAAAGAAAGGAGGGACTAGGGTTGACCTCTTTTTCCTGACAGGGCTACTGGATTAGAACAATTTTCCCATTGTTTAAAGCCAGTCTTGCACGTAGCACTCATGGAAGGCTATGCCTGCCAGTTGTCAAAAAAACCACTTGTGAAGCAGATTAAGAAGCACACAAATCTGATTAGCAAGAAATTAAACACAAAACAGGAAACACTTTTGGTTAACTCTGCACCCTCTCGAAAGAACAAGAGTTTCTGGCTGAGTCTTGTTTGCGCTGAAGAAAATGTCACCACCATCCCATGCTAAACAAACCTAAGCTGTGGGGACTGGGTAGGGGAGAGAAAGCTTTTTCTGCCGGAGAGCTGCATTTCCTCCTGGGCTGCCTTCCAGGGCCTGTGTGCCAGAAGAGGGATGGGCAAAAGCGGGCAGAGCAACAGATGCAACTCTTGCCTTGGTACACAGGAGGCTACACTCTGGGTTTCAACCCACACCTCTCTACTCTTCATTCAGGAAGCAAGGGGCACATCTGTCAGGGCTGGAGTCAGGCATAGGGCAGCAACAAAACAATAAATCAATGGAAACAAACCACAAGTCCGGCCTGGCGGTCTTGGCAACTCTTTTGAGGTCTTGCCCTGATGACGCAGTTGTGAGGGCTGAAGATAATAATAATAATATCTTTATTGTCATTGCCCCCTCTCGGGGACAACGAAATTACAGATGCCTGCCTTCCCAGGGTCCACTGGGACTCTTCCTCTCCAGGGTCTTTCTCACTCAGCCTCAGGCGGTGTCTGCGCACAACCCGGCTCTACCCTGCCCTCTTGATTTCTCTGCGTGTTCTGGGAGACCAGCAGGGAGAGGAGCTGGTCGCACCGGGAGGGGGAGACTCTCTGGCTTCTTCCACAGCCAGCCCCTCTGCCTTCTGGCCCCATTCCTCCCCAGCCCATTTCTGTCTCTACCTCTGGACTGCTCTCTGTCACAGTCTCTCCCTTCTCACTAAACCCTGTCACCTCTTCTGCTTCACCCTCTTCTCTCTCTGGCCATCCACCACCAAGCCCCTGGCTCTGAATCCTCTTCCCTTGGGGGGGGGCTCCTCGGCTGGTGCCTCCCACCATTCCTCTGCATCCAGCCAATCCATGATCGTACCACAGCTCAAAGGTGCTTTGCAGCCCCGCAAACACACTCAAGCAAGCCAGGCCAGTGTGGAGGTGCATGACCTGACGGCCAGATACAGAAGCATGGAACATCTCATCCAGTTTGGCCCTAAAGTATGCAATCACCATTAAAACGTCAAAATACTTAGCCACTTTGTTGTGACTCTCTTTTCTTTTGAAGGGGGCGGGAATCCTAGGAAACAATATTTTTTTAAAAAAACAAATGATATACCTGTGAAATGTCTTGTCCTTGAACGTGTTCTTGGTGTGGCTGTGTCCCTGCGCTAAGTGATGCTTGCTGGTTCAGGGCTGCTGCTGCTGCTCCAGAACTCGTTGAAGGGAACTGCTTCTGGACCACTGGCTCTGCAGGCAACATTGACCCCTGGCACATTGGCAGCTGCTGCTGCTGCTGCACATATGCTGACTGTACTGAGGAAGCTGTAAATGGTTGGTTATTATCAGCTGGCTGAAATGCTGGAGGTTGCTGGAGGAGGCTAGGACCATGCAGGTGCCCGGGCAGTTCTGGCGGCTGTTGCCTTGCATGAGCTGGCTCTGACTGTTCTGGCATGGAAGACACAGTCTGTGGTGCGTTTGGGGCAGACTGTGGGACTGTGGCGTTGAGGGGCTGAGGAATAGCATGCTGGCTGAACTCTTGATAGGGAGCCTGTGGCTGCATTTGTGGGTTAAAAGATGGCTGAGATGGGACAAAAGGGACCTGCGATCCTGGCTGTTGGCCTTCTGCAAACTTGTGTCCCGCCTGAGGAGGCTGCAGCTGCTGGTGCCCCATGCCGGAATCCTGCTGGATCAGATATGTTGATGGCTCAGGCTGGAGCTGCTCGGAGGGATAAGCATGGGCCTCCACTGGTTGCCCTAGGCAAACCTGCTGCTCCATGCAGCCAGCGCCACTATCCTGCACCGTATATAACGATTTCTCAGGAGAGCGCATGGCAAAACTCCGTTGATCTGTGACCTGTACTGCTAAGTGAGCCTGCTGGATCTCTGGAGGCGGAATTAGATATGGCGCTGGTTGGGTTACGAAAGCTGCCTGTCCTTGGTAAAAAGGCTGCATTGGATATGTCGGTTGGTCCAAGGGCTGTCCTGGATACACTCCAGGGACTGCATAGACCAGTTGCTCTGTGCACGGAGGCTGATCGGAGCCTTGCATTGTGTAAGCGACACGCATCTGACATGGTGCTTGCTCTGGTGCCTGGAGCTGGTTGGTGGGCTGCACTTGAGGTGTCAGCTGCTCTGAAGCTGGGAGCTGGTGGGGGGGCTGCGTTTGATATATTAGCTGTTCTGGGGCTTGCAGGTGGTACTGGATGGGATAAGCCACCTGCTCTGGAGTTGAACCCGAGAGCTCGGCCTGCTGCGGCTTTTCTACAACTTGTTGAGTGACAGCTGCCAACTGCTCCGTAGAGCTGCCCTGGAAAAGAAACTGCTCTTGTTTCTGCTGCTGTAGAGGCAGGTGGTATAACATCTGTTGCCTTACACAAGGATGTTGATCTGTGGATTGGTGCATCTGAATAGCTTGCTGCTCTTGCTGCACCAGGGAAGGCTGCGCCGAAGCATCGAGGGGCAGCGTGGGATACTGTGGGCACTGTGGAAGTTGAATCGGCTGTGGCATGGCAGAGACCTGATGTACTGGCACAACCTGCTGGGACTGCTGAATGGAACCAACCTGCTGGGGAATTTGTGGAGATTGCTGAATGGAGCCCACTTGTGGGGGAATATGCTGAGACTGCTGCATTACTGCTGCCTGTTGAAGCTGTTGAATAGAGGCCATTTGCTGGGGCTGCTGCATGGATGGAACTTGCTGGGGCTGCTGCATGGGTGCCACCTGCTGGGGAACTTGCTGGGGCTGTTGCATAGCCACCAACTGCTGAGGAATGTGCTGGGACTGCATGGGTGTTGCTTGCTGAGGAACATGCTGGGGCTGCTGCATGGACATCGCCTGCTGGGGAACTTGCTGGGGCTGCTGCATGGGTACCACCTGCTGGGGAACTTGCTGGGGCTGCTGCATGGGTGCCACTTGCTGGGGCTGCTGCATGGATGCCACCTGCTGGGGAACTTGCTGGGGCTGCTGCATGGGTGCCACCTGTTGGGTCTGCTGCATAGGTGCCACCTGCTGGGGAACTTGCTGGCTCTGCTGCATGGGTGCCACCTGCTGGGGAACTTGCTGGGGCTGCTGCATGGGTGCCACCTGTTGTGTCTGCTGCATGGGTGCCACCTGCTGGGGAACTTGTGGGGTCTGCTGCATGGGTGCCACCTGCTGGGGAACTTGCTGGGGCTGCTGCATGGGTGCCACTTGCTGGGGCTGCTGCATGGATGCCACCTGCTGGGGAACTTGCTGGGGCTGCTGCATGGGTGCCACCTGTTGGGTCTGCTGCATAGGTGCCACCTGCTGGGGAACTTGCTGGCTCTGCTGCATGGGTGCCACCTGCTGGGGAACTTGCTGGGGCTGCTGCATGGGTGCCACCTGTTGTGTCTGCTGCATGGGTGCCACCTGCTGGGGAACTTGCGGGGTCTGCTGCATGGGTGCCACCTGCTGGGGAACTTGCTGGGGCTGCTGCATGGATGCCACCTGCTGGGGAACTTGCTGGGGCTGCTGCATGGGTGCCACCTGTTGTGTCTGCTGCATGGGTGCCACCTGTTGGGGAACTTGCTGGGGCTGCTGCATGGGTGCCACCTGTTGTGTCTGCTGCATGGGTGCCACCTGTTGGGGAACTTGCTGGGGCTGCTGCATGGATCCCACCTGCTGGGGAACTTGCTGGGGCTGCTGCATGGGTGCCACCTGTTGGGGAACTTGCTGGGGTTGCTGCATGGATCCCACCTGCTGGGGAACTTGCTGGGGCTGCTGCATGGGTGCCACCTGCTGGGGTACTTGCTGGGGCATCTGTTGAACTGACACCTGCTGGGGAACTTGCTGGGGTTGTTGAATGGATGTAACTCCCTGTGGAACTGACGCCAGAGCTGAAGGGTTAGGAAGAGCCTGTGCTAAACTTGGCATATTGTTGACAAACTGAACTGAAGGCTGCCCCTGTAGCACAGGTGAATGACCAGCAGGCACAAAGCTGGCAGAAGCATGCTCCAGTTCCATTGATCCTGCAGCAGCTGGAGCCTGACTACTGATTCTAGCAGCAGAGGTCAACTGTATGTTAGCTGGCAGGTGTTGGTTCACCATATGTGGAGCAGGGATAGTCTGAGGGGAAGTGGCTGTCAAGATCTGCTGGGGGACTCCCATGATGGATCCATCCAATGTCTGCCCTTCTGCACTGTAGGATACCTGTGCATCTGGAGCCTGGTGAGAAGAAGATATTTTAAAAAGTGGTTAAACTGATCGTCCTTTCTCCAAATCTTACTATAAGGAACCTCACCATCACCACCAACAGAAGAATCACTCTGAGAAGACTATAACAAAAAGAACTTGTAGAAGGAACATCAACATTCAAGGGATTTTGTATAAGTTAATAAACAGCCGCTTGTAAAATTCCATCACCTTGGCAACACACTTTCAGTGCTCCAAAATAACCACCTTATCTGTAAGCTATATGAAGGGTAGCAAAGAACCACTAGCACTTCTTTGCAATTTCAAAAGTATTTCAGTAGCTGGACAGCCAGTATTTAACTTAGCTATGTTCCAACTAGAATGAAGGAGTGGGATGATGGATTGAATTCTTATGTTTAGGGTGCCTGAGGAAGAACTACCGGTATTTTTCATGAAGGTTGGTCCATTCTATGAATACATTCTACAGGGAGCCGACTGCCACTGCTTCATTCTACAAGCATTTCCTAGCGTGCATTCAGTTCTGCTTAAAACAGAGCTCATAATTTATCATTCAAGCTTCAGCCTCCACTGCATCATATAAAAACTCCTACAACTCTGTCATGGGATCAGATATTCAGAGTAAAGCACGCCTGCTCAGGCAGCTGCCTTAAGAAAAGGAGGACAGCATCAATTCCAGACACACCCAAAAATTACAAAGTGGTTTTCCCCACAAGATGGTAAAGTAAATGGTATAATTTATTTACAAAAGCGACCATTTTGGGGTTAATTGTGACTAATGTATCTCAAGTGTGAGAACTCCTCAGAGGCAAGAGTCACTTCTTGTTGCTGGAATGTGGAGTTCTTCCATCCTCTCCCAAAGCAGTGCTTTTGTAAATAAAGTATAGCACCTTGTGAGGTCCACCATGACCAAACCACCACGGCCCCACCTATCAAGCTGATTCCCCAGCCTTGTGCAAGAGCCTTTCTGCACAATTAATTTTTATACAACGTGCATTTCTCCACTTGCTGCAGAGATACCAGTTTCCAAGCGTTCAGAGCTAAGCTACCTTTACCTACAAATGTATGAAAGCAATGGGTAGAGAAAGGATTGAGCAATGTCTTTCTTCTGCCGCTTATCCCTCCTAAAGCAGTTAGTTCAGCATACCATTGCACACATTTGCATGTAATGTATACTTTTGAGATAAAAGAGCAATACTCTGTACATGAAAATATTTGCACCACCACCACTGCTCCTGATGCTGACAGAACAGGGCCACAACCCAGGGGCAGAGCATCTCCTCTGCATACAGAAGAAGGTCCTCAGTTCAATCTCTGTCATCTCCAAGTAGAGCTAAGAGAGACACCCACCTGAAACTCTGGAGAGCCGCCGTGTACACTACTGAGATGGAGGGAACAATGATCTGACTCTGCATAAGGCAGCTTCCATATGTTCCTATGGTTTTGTTATTGTGACCACTGAATGGGGTATGGGTGCCGGAGTGCCATGGCACCTACTAGGTATCATTTTGTGATGCACTTAAGACCAAACCCCCTGTTAAAATGCAAGCAGGTGAAACATTAGATCAGTGTCTCCTCTTCCACTGCACAGTGTTCATAAGACAAGACAGTTTATGAACAGAAGCAGCGGGGTGGGGGATGTTTAACCCTTCCCTCACCAAGCACTTTTCTTCTGCCAGTTTTTCAGACCAAGTTTATTTCAGAAAAATGTCTGTGAAATCCCCTGGGGGGGGGAGCAGATTGAAGTAAAAGTTTCAGAAGAAAAGTGACACTCTTTCTCCCCTGTCATTTGCAAATTGCCCCCTCTTGAGAATCCTTTGCAGTGAAGAAATGACCATCAGGCTTGTGTTACATACGGACATGTTGCAATGTGCAGTTTAACTTCGACTTGTGAAGCAAACTCCATCACCTGTTCAACATTTGATGTCATTTGGGGGGTGTTCCCCCCACCACAACCCAGAGGCTGCGCATTTGCCCCATGCAACTTCTCCATAGCGGCACACATCATCCGGACAGATTTCTTTTTCAACAACAAGAACGCCTGCTACGTTATCTCCCACTTTACGTGACTGCCTGCTCTCGTCATGCCGAAGTCCCTTGTAGGCGTATGGCTCAGTGTCCAAGATGCCCTTGTGAGATGCTGTTTAAATGATGGTTTGAAAAGACCATCAGGTCAGTCGGACTATCCCTGGAAGCCCTTACCAGCCTCGGTGTGAACTGCTGAAGTGCAACAGGAGACGCCTGGGCTTGAGGAACCACAGGGGGGGCCAAGCTGTGGGTGGGTAGGGTTGAAGGCTGACTCTGGATTAGTGGTAAAGCGCTGGGGTGGGCCACATTTGCTGGCTGTTGTTGCACCTAACAAAAAGATAATTAAATGGACCGTTCATAGAAAAACTAATTGATTGCCTGTGCTTCAGCTCTCCTGGTCTCAGCTGCCCTGCCTGCATTCTCCGGCAACATAATTCTCCTGGGGAAATGATACATCATCCTGAGACATGTTACCCACAGCAGAGATTGTGAACCGATACCATTGGTGAGCCACACAAAACACTGTTGTAACATTACTTACATTGCTGCAGAATCCAACAGCTTAAGAGAATGTATGGGGGGGTCCCCACGCATCTCTTACGCCTTTCACTACCATTCTTAGGAAAACATTCCTCCTCCAAGGCATCCCTTGGGATCCCTTCCAACTCTACAATTCTATGATTCTACGAAAAGGCAAACTCAATGGATGATAAAGGGTGCCTCTGGATACACATGGTGGAGCAAGTTCAGGACTCCTCCCATTCTAGGCTATCTTAATTCTACTACATGTATAGACTAGAGAAACCTAGGACCTTTAAACGGTTGACTTCTATATTTTTTTAAAAAGACAAAGGCCTGGTTTATACACAGAGAGCAAAAGGAAGGTAGAATGATGGGAAATCACCATTTTGTTTAATGCCTCTCTATCTGAAAAATCCATACAAGTAAATGTTGTTTATATCCTTTTAACTTATATCCTACCATTAAGCTCAGGAAGTTTTATAACTGTCAGAGAATTCTGCATAGCTCTCAATTCTGTGTATCCTGAATCAACAGAGGCCGACTGAATAAAAGATACTGCCTTAGCTATCTTATTTTATTCCTTCTCTAAGACTAGCACAGTCACGGCAACATTTCCAGAAACTTGATACAAGTAGTTCTCTTACCATATTTAAGAAAATGATAGGTCACTTACCCCTGCCATCGACTGGTAATGTCCCACCAGCTGCTGGGAAGCGTAGATGTGTCCTTGAACACTGTTTTCAGCTTGTGAGAGATTGGGGGCCTGCTGGGGGCCCATAATCTGTTCCGAGGAGAAAGCCAGGCTATGTTGGCTGGAGGCATCCGAAAGTATAACTGAACCTGCTCCTCTCTCAGATAAACTGTCAGCTGTGTCAGTGTAAGAGGAGGGAAATAACAAAAGATAAGCTGTTTCAGAAGAATCCATAACAATTCCCATCCTTCTCCCTATCACTGCCTCATGAAGACAAACCACTTGGACTTAATGAACTGGCCCCACTGGTGGAATCCCACAAAAGGGTGTCCACTAGTGCAATGAAGCTTCCCCACCCTTCTCCTCCCTCCATACCCCACCTCCCGAAATTGGGAACACTGCATAGGGCTAGGAGAGGAGACATCTTTCTGTCTGGTAAGATGAAAAGCTGATGGAACAACTGCTATAGTGCTACACTGAATTCAAGGGGCATAACAGGAGCTGTCTAGAAATGCCTCATCTACAAGGATCAAATATTTACTTGAGAAAAGAAAATGCAAGCCTGCATTCTAGTTGAGGACAAGGAAGGGTGATCCAATCTTTTAAAAAAATAAAAATCAACCCTATGCTTTTAAGCTGGCATCAGTAAGCTTTCTACATGGAACACAGGAAGCTGCTTTAAATCAAGCAATAACACTGGTCCACCTCATTCAGTTTGGCTATGTTGTCTATACTTGCTAGCAGAAACTCTCCAGAGTTTCAGACAAGAATGAGAATTCAGGTCTATGTGGAGATGTCATGGCTTGAACCTGAAACATTACACATGCAAACCAGGTACTCTGCCACTGAACTGTATGCCCCAAACCTCTTTGGAATATTATCTCCTGCTTCTACTAGGAGCCAGTCTGGAGCAGTGGATAGAGTGCTGAGCTTAAACTAGGGTTCACAGACCTACAAAACCCATGAGCTTCAGTAGTTTAGGCTCCCATAACCTAACCTACATCACAAGATGGTTGTGAAAACTAAAGAGGATAAAGCTACTTATCAGAACGTAATCCTATGCAGGCATAAACATGACAAACTTGCATTCCATGTAAATTCTGAAATCAGGCAACAAAGGCTTTTTCATTGAATTCTTCTCAGCTCTGCCAATGACACCAACCCACGACCATGCCTTGTTTTGGGAACTATATGCTCTTTGGCAAGGACAAACTCCTGACCTTTAAGCCAGCATCCTTATCAGAAATATTCAACACTTATGGAGCGGTTTGTGAAGGAACCAAGCAATATTATCACATGTTTATGCCAAACAAATGGTGACGAGGAAACAGAACACCAAATAAGGTCTGATTTGTAATGGAACATTACTCTGGGTTGGGAATAATCAAATGTCTTATTGTACAGTAACTGGAATTGTACTTAGTTTTGACCCGCTTGTTTTAATGTTATGCTTTAATTGTTGTAACCTGCCTGGGACCTTAAGGTAAAGGGTGGGTAAGCAACAACAACTACTACTACTACAACATTTGAAAAAAATATTTTTTAAAAAACCCTGCTGGATCAGGCCTATGGGAAGTTTGCAAGCAGGACCTGAGTTCAAGAGAACTCTCCCCACTTAGGATACCCAGCAAACGGTATTCATATTCTACACTTTTTTAATCAGTTGCTTCACTTGAGGCTCTGCCTGGCCAACAGTGCCATGGAGGTACGATCAACCTGCTGTTCTAATTTCACTACTCCAGTGCGGCACATCTACCAATTGAACAGGGAGCAACATCATGGGTATCTGCTGACCTCAGATGTTCTTTTATTGGGCAAAGTGGCTGCAAGGAGGTGGCTCTATATTGTGTGAAGGGCTGCAGCGTAGAAGAGGAGGGAAAGGCTCAAAACGGCCACACAACTTGGCTACCCCCAAGCTGCCTTTCCCCTCTGAGAAAAAAAAATGGTACAAGTCTTTGTATCAGTAAAGGAGAAAGAAACTGGGCTGAGCAGCAATTTTGAGTAGGCAAATGGTTGTGAGCGAAAGGATTGGCCATTAGAAAACTCCCATCAGATCATCATGGCTGTGCTGGCTGAGGCTGATTGGAGATTCAGCCCAAAACATCTAATGGGAGTTCTAGTCCAAAACATCTGGAGGGCATCAGATTGGTAAAGGCCAACAATTCAAACTGTGGGCAACTGCCACAGATACATGTCACAGTTTACATGCTAATTGACCTCCAATAAAGCAGAAAAGTGCCAGGAGTTCAATAAATGCCTTGTGGAGATGCATCTGGATGAACAAAATGATGCTCTGATTCACTCTTTATAACCTTAGTTCAGGATAGCATTTGGGAGGACAGGCTGCCTTTGGTTGCTCATTACCAGCAATGGAGGAGCTGTGCTGCATTTGTTGAAGGATTTGCTGTCGGACATGTTGGTCCACCTCTGTTTCCTCGCACTCCGTCCTGCTCTGTTGGGAAGGAGTGCTGAATGATGAGCCCTGTGGCTGGAGTAATGGTAGCCCACTTGGCAGCTTGCTTTGAGAGTCTCTTCTCTCCTCCAGGTAGCCCACCTGCCTCCGCTCCCTTGTCTTCTTGATTAGGGAGACACGATCCCGGATGGACTTAGCCACAGCTTTAGAATCACTTTCGTGGAAGAATCCTGACTTCACCTGGACATCAAGAAAGAACGGTTCTATTAAGTATAACTCTGCTCCTCTGAACTGGTATCCATCGGTGTTTAGCAATGCTTTTCTGTAATTTCACATTAACTCAGGGTTCCATTACAACAGAACTTGCATTGACCACATACTAGATCAATCTTGGACCTATTGTATGGAGCGCCAAACAATACAGCAAGCAAGATACAGACCCACAAATTCAAGTGCTGCTACACTTTGGCTATGGGTTAAGGCCAAGTACATTGGCTGGATCAATACTAATTAGTACTTATGTGCAGTGGCGTAGCGTGGGGGGTGCAGGGGGGGCCGGCCGCACCGGGCGCAACATCTGGGGTTAGGGCAAATCCACAGGTTAGGGGGCGCAAATCCACGGGTTAGGGGGCGCAAATTACTTGCCTTGCCCCGGGTGCTGACAACCCACGCTACGCCACTGCTTATGTGACTGTCTTCAACATTAATATACTGTGATGAAAATGGGTAGAGACAGAAGCAAAAGTGGACAGAGCAACAGATCTGTCTCTTACCTTTGGATAGTACACTATGTTCTAGACATGTAAAAGCCACACCTCTCCAGAAAACAAGAGACATCATTGCAGCTCAAGGACACATCCCAACCAAGCAAGAACACTCAAGTAAGGTCCAAGGCCATGCCAGTGAGGGGCACGGCCTAGGGGAATCTCAAGGGATGGAGAGACAGGCCTAGTGGGCCACATTTGGCTCATGGGCCAGATATTCCCCACCTCTGATATTTATGTTACTTGATTAGAACAAGTTAATTAGAACAAGATAAATAATCACAATACTGTCCATCCTACTCCAGAAAAGGAATTATTATGAAAACAGTCACGTAACAAGTGGCTCTTGCTAAATCCTTGAATTATCCATGACAGATTTCTACTGATGGGACGTACAGTTATATTTTCAAGTAGTGATCCAGTTTAAAAGACAAGGAATTCAAGCACAGGTGTTGCATTAAAATGGAACCGTCAAAGGGGAGGTTCTTAGCTGCCAACTGTTAGCAGAGTCACTACCCAAACCTAGCCGAAAAGTAAAGGGAAAATAGACCCAAACAACAGCTTTAGAGCACAACATCACAAAGCCATTCATAAGACACAGAACAAAGCATCCTGAAACAACAATTTAGGAGACTTCATAGCTGGCTGGTGGGTGATGCTTAAGCAGGAGTCACTTGTGTGCATATACATATGAGCAGATGCACTGCTATGACTCCTTGCAGTATCATTAGCCATCAGCTGTTACTTGTCAGGTTGCTGTGTAGCCAAATGTTTTGTGAAAACAAAACCAAGGCAACAGTGAGGCAGAATGAAGAATCTGCAGTCTAAACAGATAACTTGGGCAAAGGAGAATAAATGAAACAAAACCGTAAGAGGAAAGGAGGGAGAAAGAGACTTGTTTACACTAATGCAAAAACTTCATCAGCTCTTGGCTGGCTTACGATTCACATACTGTAAATGAGTATAAAACCACAGCTTCAGAAATCATGCTAGGGAAAATACTCTCCCATTGGGCAAGAAGCTGACCAGTCCTTAGGTGACCTTATGCCTTGTACGTAAAATAAACTACTACCTGTCCAAATGTCTCCCTGCACACAGAAAACTAGACTTGCAGCTCTGAGCAGGAGGGAGTGCACCATTAAGCTAAAGTTAAGTGGGAGTTCTGTGACTGGAACCCCACTTTCCCCCCACAGACTATTTTTGTTTCTTGAAAAGCAGCTGGGTAGGTGGGTGGAGAGAGAGTTTTGGATCAAGGCCATGGAATGGAGATGGGTTGTATACCCCTTTGCTCCTGTGCGGTTTCTTTTTATGAAATGGTGGGAGTTCCAGGTACAGAACTCCCACATAACTTGTAGCTTGGCTCCATGGAGAAAGTGCTCAGGGAGACATTCCTATACATTTGCTTCTGTGTCATCCTCTTTAGGACTGGGTTGCAAAAATATTTCTCCTTGTAAACCAAATCTTTCAACTGTGTGCAACAAAGAAGTCACGATTTACCCCCACGGAAGACACTTGGTCCTATGCTGCCCATGGCAATAGTCTTGTTTTATGGTTTTATCCTTCTTATAAATTGCCCAGAGAGCATCAGTGACTGGGCAACATAAAAGCGTAGCAAAGAAATAAAGAATAAAAATGCAACACTCTCTAAAGGAAAGTGTAAAAGTGGGAATAAAAAAAAGTGGTGCAGTAAACCCCGTGTTTGGAATTTAGCAAATAAGAAGCGGCTGGAGATGCTGCCAACTCAGAAAGAAAAAAGGTAAGGGAAGCAATGGTAATACATACCATTTCACAAGCCACCTCCTCTGGGACATCTGTTTCCAGGTTGAAGCTGAACTCAAGGGCTTCATTATCTTTGTGCTTGCCTTTCAGCTTCTTGGGATCCTCTACCCAAAGTCTCAAAGCCAGGGAGGAATTCAGTCCATCATCATCCTCTGCCAGCTCCACTCTAAGTCCAGTGTCCTCAGCAAAGAAGGCATGATTCAAAAGGTCTTTGATGGATAACCTGGCAACAAAATAATGGGCAATCACAGAGTGTCTTATGATACCTACACCCAGTGCTGGATTTACATATAAGCTAAACAAGCTATAGCTTAGGGTCCCACTCCCTTGGGAAATTTAAAGGGGGGTGGGTGGGATGTACATTTCCAAAACAAACAAAAAACAAAAAAACAACTTACATACAGCAACAGTGTTTTGTGTTGTGTATGGACCTATTAGACCTATTAGGTCCATAAATTACCATATAGCATATATTCAACACAAAAAACAGTGACAATTTGTTGTTGGCAAAGGACAGCTGGACATATAAAGGGCCCCATCAGTAGCTTAGGGCCTCATCAAACCTAAATCTGGCCCTGCCCACACCAGTGGTATAACTGACAACTGGTGGGGTGCTTTCATCCCGTATTAAACTTCCCTGAGGGACTTTTGTGATAGGCATTACATTTATTTATCCAATAAGTTAACTCACCTATTCAGCACACAAAAACAAACAAAATTTAAAAACAAGAACAATTGCTTAAAAATTGACAAACCACATTCAAAAACAACAAAATTGGACAGCCAGCATTTATGACACATCAAAAAAATACTAAACAAAAAGTTTTAAAGATCCAATTAATGACAGATACAAGCTTCTCTGAGACAGAACTGCATCAACATCTTGCTATACGCACCATGTGGGCACTGTTTTACAGTTTAAGCACTTAGCAGTATTTCAGGGGAAATCAAGCAGATACCTTAATTTCCCTTCACTCAAGACCATGCTGTTGCAGGGAGGGGAGAGAAAGAGAAACAGTAAAAGCTTCCCAGTTTTCTTTGACTTCGAAAGGCATTATGCAGGTGCTTAAAAGCACTATGCAAAGCTGGAATGCTTTGCTTAATCAGGTTTTTTTTTGCCTGTATCAACAGCTCCCTAGTTAAACTCACAATGACCACCCCTTAAATTTAGTGTGCACAACTTGGAGTGAGGAAGAGCACAATAAAATAGACCTGCTCACCTTTCAGATTTGTTTTGTCGAATGCAACCTTCAATGATCTCTTTCACTTCTGGATCAATAACCTTGTTAAAACTGGCAGGTTTAATGCCCTAGGAGAGAAGTGATGAATAGAAGTGATGTTAATAGATAATACCCAGCAGGAGTTCTCTCCATTGCTGCTACACAGAATTATGGAAAATCCCCAACTGCTCTTCCAAGCAACCTAAGTTAGTACAGTAGATCTTAACCATATAAACCCTTATCCTGAAGACATTCACTTGGAAATAAGTCACAGTGAACACCACCCAACTGACTTGCAAACTGCAGCCATTATTCCTTTTCTTAAAATCCCAGCTTTTGCTTCTAAACAAAATCAAGCTGGATATCCAGGCTTTATGTAATATGCATTGTGAAAGGGGTCAAAAATCATTCTAATTCATTTGACTAATCTCTTCTTACCCTTATCTGGCCATTGACAGCCAGAAATAAGAACATTTCTCTCCTGTGCATGAAACTTAACCTAATAAAGAATAAGCTACACCCCAATGTTGCTTTCTTTGAGGACACAGAACACACAAGTGTCCTGCAAAATGTTTTTGTCACAAAGCTGAGAATCTTAGTCTTCTATATGTACCTCTAAAGTGTCTTTCCAGGATGTATCCTCAACTCCTGGATATTATAATGTAATGTACAATCAAGGAAAGTATCAGTTTCATCATGGAGAAACATAAATATCATCAAAACTACCTGAGTACTCTGGCTAGTATGCTAAAATAATATTGTACTCTGAATGTACATATTAAAAAAACTACATTAGGCAATACCCAGAAGCAGCTCCCCTACCATGAGACAAAGTGAAGCAGCTGCTTCAAATGTTTGGTTTTTGTATCATTTCGATTTTCCTTCTGTCCCACCATTGTGTTTTGACCTAGTCCTGGCCAACCTTTATTGCCAAGTGGGAAAATACCATAATATGGTAAAGTGTGAAAACTGCAACTAACTTGAGGGAGCACCTTTGGCAATGACAGACAGAATCCTTGTGATTTTGCTATTAAATACTTCCACAAAATCCTTCTCCACTGATCTGTTTTCTGACACACACACACACACACACACGATGCACCGACCTTCAGTGTAACTAGTTCATTACAGCTACAGAACAAGCCACACACATTAGCCAGAGAATAAATGCATGGAAGCTATTTTTGATGTCTGAATGAACACATCATTTGAGTTGCCAGTCTGACTATGAAGCTGGGAGGAAAAGATTATGCAGGGATTGACACTTATGCAGCTCAATATTGTTAACTGCCCTGTGATCCTCAGGTGAAGGGTGGTATAGAAATTAAATAAATAAATAGACAAAGTTTGGTTAAGGAACCATCCATTCAATTTTTGGCCTAAAAAAAGCAAGCTTACCCTTGCGTATTGTGCCATCTGAACACCAAACAGTAGTTAAACTTCTTCTGCAAATGACACACCTGAAACTATCAGTCACTCTAGAAAAAACTCAGCAATGTCTAGATAAGTCCAGGCTAAGTTTAGCAGCTGCTTTGCAGGGCAACAGGACTAGCATTAGTTCTGAATAATTGGCTTAGTTGCCTTAAGCTCCCAATATACAAGTTTACCCTAACAAAGAAGTTACATTTACACCTACACTGGTGACTTTTCGGTAGATTTGAGCTGCGTTTTGGCATTCAGAATATGGGTATTCAGAGGTCGCCATCTCCAGCATACACATTCCAAAAGCATAGACATCAACAGACTCATCATAATGTTCTTCATACATCTCAGGAGCCATAAATTCAGGAGTTCCTGGAGAAAAAGTAAAAAGAAGCCAACGTTTTTCCACATTTTGGACTGCTGCAGTCCACCAACAAGCATTTTGCAAGTGCTGCTGCTTTCCATGCAGTAGCATCCTATACACTGTTATAGATTTGGTGGGGGGACCCCCTAAACCCTAGAAATTAATAAATGGTAGGATATTGATTAACGGGGATATGTATGAAACTACAAGCTGCAGAACTGTGCCAGACAAGGAATCCCTAGACTGGCTTATGCAAACCAGCCTGGCAAGCCTGGCAAAGAGCTAGTCTGTTAACATGGCAAAATGGGTTGATGGGCTATCTGAGAGGGGTCCATTGGCCTGGGGAGATAGATGTTGCCAAGGAGATGGGGTGTGTGTTTGAAGTGACAGGAAAAGGGAGTCTTTAGCAAGCTGTTCCGGGGAGAAGGAGGAAGAAAGACGGGGATCCATCTTGGGCAGGCTGGCTGAAGGCTGGCTGGGAAAGATGCCTTAGATTCCATGGCTGCACTGCTGTGGGGGACAAGCCCCTCCTGAAATGACCATGGTGTAAGATCTGGACTCCCTCCATGAAGCCTGAAGCTGTAAATAGGTGGATATGTTTTAAAGCTACGACAGTCTCCGTCGTGTCTCAATTCTCCAAAGGAACACAGACCCTAGGTGAGTGCCTGGAATCCTATGGACTCTTGTTACTGCTCAGCAGAGAGAGGGAGAGGCACCCAACTTTTGCAACAATACAAAATAGCGAACGTAATCTCTGAATGTGGATCCTTAGATAGCCAAACTGCTGCATTTCACACAAAAGAGGGAGATAATAGCTATGGGAAAACAGCAAGTTTAGAAAACAATAAAAAAAAACTAACAACAAAAATATATGAGGAGGTGAAATTAATTCAGTAACAACCAAGTATACTGTACTCAGTTGACATGGAATGCTAACTGACCATTAGGAGGAGGGACCAAAAAATTGCAGGAGAAACATGGAATTGAACATCCCAAAAGACAATATGACTGCCTAGATTCAAAATTTGCTGCAGATCCCACCTGTCCACCCTAATTCTGCATATTCTGACTTCCTGTAAAACCCCAAGGAGAAGAAAATAAAAAGAAACAATCATACTTCTATTCTATCAGAACCTCTAGCATTTGAATTAGGCATTTGACGAGCAAGTATCAGAAACAGAACTCTTTCAGTCATGGCATCCTTACTTTGGAATGCCCTACATAGCAAGGCCCAGGTGGCTCCATCTATGGTGAAGGATCAAAGCTCAATGGTAGAGCATCTGGTTTGAATGCAGAAGGCCCTAGCTTCAATCCCTAGTATCTCCAGGAATGACTGGGAAAGATTTCTTTCTGAAATGCAGGAAAGCGACTGCCAGTCAGTGTAGACAACACTGAGCAAGATGGAACAATGGTCTGACTCAGTATAAGGCAGCTTCCTATGTTCCTTCCTATGTTTCACAGTACGGACCTTTGGGGACTACGCCACTTGAATCCTGGTTAAGGGCTCTGTTATTAGTGTGCTTAGTCTTGTTATTTGTTTGGATTTATGTTTCACATGTATTCAAACTTTTGTTAGCTGCCTTTGATTTGTGTGAACAAGCCAAGGGGCTTCAACCTAGCAAATGACCCATGAATGAATTCATGCAGATGAGTAACCATAATATATTATTAGGGTCCATCCTTCAATCTCTAGATTGTATGTATGTAATTATGTATGTATGTATGTATGTATGTATGTATGTATCTCTAGATTGAATGTATGTATTATTATGTATTAGGGTCCACCCTTCAATCTCTAGATTTCAGTTATGAGGCAGCAGAATTTGGGTACTGAATTTAGGACCTAAAACCATTACACTGCAGTGTGTTAGAAATGTTTTTCATTCATGGTCAAAATCTTCCAGTGGATCAGAAACATTACACTGGAACAAGTCAAGAGGCAGACTTTAGGAAGCCTGATCTTGAACTCTTTATGCACTATAGCAGTAGCACTGCTTGGATACAATTGCAGATTCCAGTCTCTACTGAGGACAAAGAGAGACACACCACAAGTGGCGTGAAGTACACAAACACACTATATTCACCAATGACACTCTTAGCGAACGATGTGCGCATTAAGGTGGCCAGTCCCAGGTCGCCAATCTTCACTGAACCAGTGGGCCCTGTGATGAAGATGTTGTCACATTTCAAATCACGGTGGATGATAGGAGGGGTCCTTGTGTGCAGAAAATGCAGCCCTTTCAAGATCTGTCGGCACCAGCTCCTTAACACCTTTGGCTTCATGACTTTGAAACGCTTTAAGTACCTACGAGAGAGAACACCACACCGCAGATGTTAACCACACCATCAAGTTAATCCACTTGCATAGTGCTTTCAATCAAGTTTCTGTGGCGTTTTGTGGAATTTTACACTGGCACTTCAGTGATTCTGAATAATATTCCAATAATATTAATAAATTTTTGTGATGTTTGGGTTCTGCAGGATATCACAACATGAGCAGGGGTTCCTTAAATGAAAAATCATCACTGGGTTAGAATACCAAAAGATAAAGAGGGAGTCAGCATACTACAAGGAAATCTGTCTCAACTGTTTATAACAATCACATCTAATGTGCTATATGTGGGCCTTAGAAGAATAGAATTGTAGAGTCAGAAGGGACCGCAAGGGTCATATAGTCCAACCTTCTGTAATGCACGAATCCTGTCAACAGCTGTCCCTGAATGGGCATGAACCACCAACAGCCAGACACTGACCTATGGCACCACTGTCTTGTGGAAATCTCAAGTGATCCATCATTTGACTGCCCAATTATTAATTTGGACATGCAGATGTTATTGTATTAAATCTGTGCTTACAAGCAAAAACTGGAGTTTTTGGAGGACAATCTGCTCCCTCACATATAAATCCACCTCTGCATTATCATCATCTGCAGGCCCTGCTTCCAGGGCCCTCCCCTCACTCTTACTCCAGCTCAGAAGGAAGGTGGGTGGCTACTCAAGTCAGGACCTTTTCTGCTGTGGCACCTAGACTTTGGAATTCCCTGCCCAGCTATACGTAGTTGACAAGCACCCACTTTATGACATTTTCAGTGCCAATTGAAAACGTCTTCCATGCCTTTGATGTCTATTAAGCATGATTTAATTTCGTTTGTTCTCTAGCTATCAGCAGCATTCTTGGTTTTTGCTTCTATTGCAAATTGTGCCTTTGAATGTTACATCCTGAGCCATTCAGTTCTCTTGGAGCTTAACAGAAGGCCTGTTGATTTATACATCACATACAGTAACTTATTGATGAGCTATAGGCCTTTTCACAAAGGAGACCCAACACAAGTTTGAAACTTCACACAGGTAATCTCACAAGTTCTCTCTTGGGGGTGGGATCTTATAAATTCAAGTAATAGCATCAATGTAAAAATGAAGTTATTTGACATTTTTAATTTATCTTAACGGCCTTAATTTTTGCTGAACAGTTTTCTACACCTGGGGGTGGGAAAGTAGTGGTAGAAATTAGAGAAGGACTAGACCAAAATTACAGAATAGGCTTCCGCCCCTCAGTCATACATTCCATCTTTCTTGTTACATTGTGTATTCCCTAATATTCTTTTATACAGAATTTCTACATAGTCAGCGATGCTTTCTCAGCCCCAGTACAAAAATCCTAGCACATTTTCTTTCTTTCCTGATTATAACCAACTCACATAACGTATATGATCTGCCAGCTTGAAATCAGTAATCCCTAAAAATCAGTTAATTGCAGCAATTTTGCAATTTAGTTGATCTTCGCTGCTGCCATGGAACACTGACTCAAGAGACTTCTCAGTACACTCTCCTATTTCTACCCCCATCCCACCCCAAAGAAAACTTAACCATCAATGCTAACTACACTGGTTATAATTTCTATAGAACTTTAAAAGGCTTATTTGTATTCAGTTTTTGTTTCCTTTATTCCACCTATCATATAAGGGTTTACCCAAGGCCAACCAATGAGTCTTGTGACTTTACAGGTCTGTGAATCTGAATGCCTCATATTCAGATTCAAAACTGTTTAGTGCACCGTACTGATATGAAGGAGATTTCAACCATACAGATTAATCAGCAAACCACCATGCCGCAGATGGGTAGCAAGATATTTACATATATCCCATATATGCCACAATGCAGCTGTGGTGCCAAGTGTCTGAACTTTGATGTGGCTGGCCTACAATGCAACCACATAATGGGGGAGTGGGTGAAAACAGTCCCAGCAGGTGTGAATATACATTTTTTAAAAAAACACTATATCCAATTTGTGAAAGAAAAAACATACGTCTTCAGTGTCCCAGATGTCATCAGCTCAGTTACCAATACAATGCACTTCTTTCCTTTAACAGTTGATTCCCAGGAATCATAAAATCGGACAATGTTAGGATGTTGCAATCCCTTGAGCATCTCAGCTTCTTCTTTAAACCTCTGCTGCTCAGCTTTGGTCAGCTTCCTGTCCTAAAATGAAGAAAAGATGTACAAAGAATCACTACGTTATGTTGTGTAAGCATTATCATGCATCTAATTAAACTTATGTCAAACAAATTTGTTAGTATATCGGGTTCCATAAGACTCTTTCTTGGTTTTGGTGTAGCTGTTATTCCTGGTCTAGGTTGGTCAAGTATGGGTCACACTGCTGTTTTATACACACAGTGAGAGAGACACCAAACATGAGTAATAATAATAATAATAATAATAATAATAATAATAATAATAATAATACATTTTATTTATACCCCGCCCTCCCCAGCCAAGGCCAGGCTCAGGGTGGCTAACAACCAATAATAAAAACAAGTTGAATTAATACAACTTAAAAACAAGATTAAAATACATTAAAACATTAAAAGCAATGGGTGATATCCAACAAAGCACTTCAACTAACAGGTCTTCCCATTGTGAAACAGAAGGGAATCTCCTCCCCTCCCCTCTCTCCCTACACACATACACCTATGCCCTCCCCTTCCTCTGTTCTGGATCGTGTGAGGAAATCTAGAACAGGTTTAGGGAGTGCATGGGAAGAGGAGAGGAAGGGGGAACATAAAATGCACCACTAGAAGTCCTACAGTATTTCGTTGGATACTGCTCAATGAATGGTTATAGCCATAGTCAGCAAAAAGAATTAAAAGTGCTGCTTCTAGAAATTCTAAGCTTCTAGAAATTTGTTTCGTGGGGAGCAGTAAAGTAAGAAAAACATTAAAGAAAGTTTTCCCAGATGCCTTTGGTTTTTACACACTTGCAGATTATATATATTAAGCAGGACCCGACTGGCTCCCTGATATACTAAAAAACTGAAGGCTATGACGCAGCTTGGAAGCTGATTTGAATGAACATGGCAGAAGACTCCCTGCAAGTCTGCGCGATTTCAGGTAAAAGCTCCTTCTTTGGTTTACTCAATAGTGGCAGTGATGGCAAAGAAACATTATTTCTCCAACACTGCTGCATCCTCACAGTGTCATCCAGTGGAGGTCCTTCTGGTGCCCTAAGGCCTTCTCCAGTTTGGCCAGAGATATGTGAAGAAATCCTCAGGAGGCTCATTCTGACACATTGTGGTGCCTGTCATATGAGGCCCTTCTCTAGCTCCCCCCCTCCAATTTTGGGGGGTAGCAACAAAAGAATGGGCCTTTTCTGTGATGGCTCCGATTGTGGAATGCTCTCCCCAGAAAGACTCCCCTGATGCCATCATTATATGTCTTTAGACACCAGGAAAAAGCATTTCTCTTTACCCAGGCCTATGGCTATTAAATGATCTATGGCAGGGGTCTGCAACCTTTAAGACAAAAAGAGCCACTTGGACCCGTTTCCGAAGAAAAAAAAACTGGGAGCCGCAAAACTCGTCATTATAAAAATAACTTTTTTGTCACTTTTAAAAAAATTATTTCTTTGTTTGACCCCTCAGAATTACTCCTCCTCATAGAAATAAACGTTAAATTAACAAGTTACCTTTTTGTGTGTGTGTGTTCTTCACTCCCCTTCAAAACAGTGACCAGCGTACATGCCCCCTTTCAATGCAGTGACCAGTGTACATGTCCCTTACAATGTAGCGGGCGGGCGGGAAGGTGACGTGGGGATGGTACTTGACTAACACACGCACCGCCCCCATGCGACGTCACAGCCAGTACAGCGCCCGCCACAGTGAGGAGTGTCGGGGCGCACAATGCGCCTCCTCCCCTCGCTAGTATCCGCCCCGGAGCCGCAGCAAAGGTGTAAAAGAGCCACATGTGGCTCCGGAGCCGCGGGTTGCAGACCCCTGATCTATGGCCTGTAAAAGTGTAGGGAAAGAGGAGTGTTATTAATATGATTGTTTTACAATTAAGCTGTCTGTATATTTTTTACTATGTTTTTATTATGTTTTTATCGTTGATGTTTTGTAGTGCATTTCTGGTATTGTGCACCACCCTGGGATCTTTTGATAAAGGGAGGTATATAAATTATTATCATCATCACCACCACCACTTTGAGAATAGAAGCCACTCACATTTGCCTTGACTTGGTCACCAGGGAAGGTAACCAGAGCACATGTAAGCTTGTTTCATTGGATGAATTTCAGCTGCTGGACAGAGTCCTTGGACATACAACCTATATACTTAACCCTTTGCTTTTCTTGGCTCATAATATCAAGCCAGGAAGAGATTGGACCAACACTTCCTTGAAAGAAGGGCTTCTCCAACCACCCTAAATGAAGAAGTTTTGCAACTCATCCTGAAAAATTTCCCTCTAGACCTAGTTGCAAATACTCCCTTCCTATCCCAAGTGCTTGAGTGGTAGGTTGCTGTGCAATCAGTTTCCTGGATGAGACTATCTAGGTCTATTTCAGTCCTGCTTTGTTCTAACACAGAGGTTGCCGGTCATTTTGGTGGATGAACTATGGAGGGAGAGGGGAAGGGAGGTGTGACCTTATAGACTCTCCTATACCTCTCACCAGCTTTTTGCACCATTTATATTTTGCTACCAGATGAAGTCCTTTTTATTTTTAATTTCTAACACTTCTAATGTTTTTTCTGTTAAAATAGATATACTTTTAATGTAGCATTTTTTTATTAATTGTAAAAGGTGGAACACTTTTTTCAAAAGCAGGGCATACAACAAAGTGCATGTGTCCTCACATTCTGTCCAGTGCCTGCCAGATGTCAACTACTGACAGGAGGTAGAGGAAAGGCTCTCTGACAGAACCTTAGAGTGAGACTTTCCTTTAGATATCCTATAGCTGCAGCTAAGATGGTAGTTAGAAGAGGTCAGAGTAGGAAGGCACTCAATCCGTCTCAACTCATCCTTTGAGGCACCATCCTAAAGCATGCACCAAGTGTAGAACCCCTACAGGGGAAGGAATGAGAATACCAGTCCTGGATCTAGAAAGCTCTAGTGGTTTTGTAGGTAGAATGCTGGACTAGGACCTTAGAGATCAGGGTTCAAATCCCCACTTAGCTGTGCAATTCACTGGGTGACCTTGGGTCAGTCACTGTCCCTCAGCCTAACCGACTTCACAGGGTTTTGATGTAAAGATAAAATGGAGATGGGGAGAGCCACATATGCCACCTTAAATTCCTTGGAGGAAAGGTGGGATATAAATGTAACAAGAAGAAGAAGTGTGGGACCACAAAGAATGAAGTCAATATGTAGTAGTTGCAAGGACTACTAATAATTTTCATCTTAATAAGAGTAGTGGGTGTTAACATCTTCAATAACAGCATGAAATAAGATATGTGATTTAACAAACAAGTGATGCCACTCATCTGGAAGTCAAAATAAATGATTTTAATACTTGCTGAGTCCAGAACACTTTATATCAGTACCAGGCTTCCCTCCATGATCTCTAACCTCCTTCAAGGACAAATGCAGCAAACTCAGCTCAACAGAACAAAACACTAACTCAACAGAGGATTCTGTGTTTAAGAGGAGGGTAAAAGTGTAAGATGTGCCTTGGGCTAGGTTTCAACCTACTTCTGCCTTTATGGTCTAAGTACTGAATCAAAATAAAACAGTTATGAATGCTGACCTAAGTTATACATAGGCAAATTATTTCCTTTTTCCTGCTACCAAAACTTCCAACTTGTCTTAAACCCAAACCAAACATTCAGGCAAAGAGGACAGGCATGTACAACACACACACACACACACACACACACACACACACAGAGAGAGAGAGAGAGAGAGAGAGAGACTTTTAAGAGAACTCTCTTTTTACAAATAAAATACCACAAAATGCATCAGCCCTACTCGACATGACGGCAAATGAGTGATTGTGAGTTAACAATCCCCTTTAATTCCTTTGGCTGATGCTCAGTTAGCATAAATTTGGCAGCACATACATGCAGCAAAGCCAGGAAACACAATGAGAAAGGGAAGGAGCAATAATGAAAGGGACAGATGCCAAGAGGATGCAGTCTTCCCTCCACCCCCAACAGCCCAAGGAGAAGTGGGCACTGCTGGCCTCTTCACATCTGATGGGGCTCTGAACAGCCACTTCGCTCAACACAGTTCTACAGGAATGACAAATCAAGGACCTCCGAACAACTCAATTGTTTTATGTGCCTATGTTCAAGTGATCAGCAAGCGACAATTTGCAAAATTAATGATGATGGGTGATTTTGCAAAGCTGCAAACATTTTATTGTTTGCTTCAGGCTGGCTGAAATGCAACTGATTATAGAGTAATTGTTTTCGATGTTATTGACTTAATGCAACTAATTAAGTCATGCAACTTAACAGCTTGCAGTAAGAGCTGTTGGACAGTGGAACGGACTCTCTCAGAAAGTGGTAGACTCTTTCCTTGTATGTTTTAAAGCAGAGGTTGGCTGGCCATCTGCTAGGGATGCTTTGGTTGAGATTCCTGCATTCTTTGGGGGGTTGGACTAGATGACTTTCAGCATCCCCCCTAAAATCCCATAAAGAAATACTGTTGACACAGAAACTTGAACTCATGACATATGTAGTGCACCCAGAAATTATTTTCCACACTCACACACACACGTTTAGCTTGGGGAGGAGAAAGAAAATATATTTGTACTTGCCATTTATTTTCCATTGACAATAATGAGTTTTGAATAGCATTCAGGAATCGGACACCATCCTTTTCCCATTGGTTTACACAAACTGAACTGGCATCAAAGGCCCCACCTAGAACTGCACTCCAAATTCACGCTAGGTTAATTTACAACAAGCAAGCTTTGTTTCAAATGGAACCTTTTGTTAATTGGTCAATTGCTGACTGTCAACAAATCAGTTCCTGGTTAAACAGTTAGCTGATTATCCAGAATAACCACTGAGCCATAAGTCAAAAATTAGGATGCAAAAGACAAATGCCATTTTTGGCTATGCGATCAGCAGAACCATCAACGAAGTTCAATGTGGTGCTAAGTGAAAGTCCCTTAGCCCTGTTGCACCAGCAGAATGGTTCTATTTTATAGTGTGCCTATGTTTATGTTCTTCTGTAAGAGTCCCTTGGAGACCTACTAGGTGACA